CTCTCTCTCTCTCTCTCTCTCTCTCTCTCTCTCTCTCTCTCTCTCTCTCTCTCTCTCTCTCATGTTTCACGTGATCTCATACCCGACCATCTCTACCACATCCCTCGGCCTTCATTGCGCCCCTTGCGGTTCGCATGTTTCCATTTTTAGGTGCCTTTCATTGTGGTCCAAGTTTGACATGCCGACAGCTCTAAATTTGAACAATAAAGAATATGTTTCAAATCCAATGGAGACCCAGGATCACCGGGCGCAACTCAGTTATCAAGATGAAGGAGACAGCGAAAGTGGGAGAAGGCGATATGAGAGAACCCTGAGAGAGAAGAAAAGGAGGGGTAGCGACTTGAAGAGAGAGGAGAGCGAAACGAGGGGGAGAAGAAGGAGGAGTGTTGGACCTTCAGCAAGGCTGTTGTGGAAAGAGTTGAAGAGGAACATGGATTTTCATGGTCTATGATTACTCGGGAACGCAGTCCAGCAGCGCTAGAGGATCAAAAAGCTTTCTTGTTGAATTTTGCGTTGACGTCATGCTTGCAGTAAGGTAATTATTGAAGACATCATTTCAAGTCGGACATCATCATGATTCAACGTATGGCAATGCTCGGAAGCTTTGGTTGTGGTGCTCTAGCAAGTTTTGCGGCAACCTACGCCAGCAAGCCCAAGTTGTCGTATATCAAGGTGGAGGTTTTCCTGCTCTGCATGCGTTTAGGTTGATCGGAAGGTTTGTGCAGGAGGAATCGCAAAGCAATTCCTGTCAAGTGGAGCAGGAGGCTTCGAAGATAATACAAGTGAGCTTCGACTTGTTGTAAACATCTTTTGGCTCATGGAGGGAGGAAGGTTGCCGTTCAAGTGATCAAGAACGTCAATGCCTGTGTTTTCTGCACCAACTCAGCTGAAGGAGCCCCGCGATGCCGGGTCGTCAGCCCGTGAGGCTGTCACTCCGGTCCCTTCCTCAGCTCAGATGCTTCCAGATCTCCACCAGATGACCAGCTGACCTCTATGCGCTTCACGACAGGCTCGCACACTCGCAAGGCAACATATTTCTTTACCTTCTCCTATTTCACTCCTTATCTTCTGATTCTTGTCTCTCTTCTTCTTGCCCACCCGCTGCTTTTCAGGTTCTTGAGCTGCAACAAGACAGCAGAGCTTCCATGACTTACTTTGATCCGGAGAACGCAGCATACGTCTTCTTGGCTGGCAGGTTGTCACTCCCTTTTCTTCTTTCCTTCGACTGACATCAAAGTGATAATTAGGGTGCAAGTTGTCGGCAAAGAAACGCTCAATCCTGACATGTGAGTGTTAGAATCCCAGTGTTTGTAAATAACTTATCTGGTAGCATCAACCCCAACTTTATGTTCTCCGGTTTCAAACCTCCGGGAGTAAGGTCTCTGTGATCTTTGACTCTCATGATTTCCCTCGTCAGAAGATGGCTTCGATGCAGTTCGTCCCTCTCCAAGTTGAGGTCATAAGGTGATTGATCCGATCTGATGTTGACCATGCCTGTTGACCTTCTTGCCCAGTCCTCTCGATGGCATGACCGGCGATAAGAAGTCATGGATTCCCCCGGCAGCCTGGCGAGCATCGGACGGGTGGGCGCATGGGAGAAGCTGAAGCTGTCTCCGGCAGTCAGTCGAACGGTTCTGAGTTTCTTTTCTGCAGGACCTGGAAGAAGACTCAAGTGGACAAGTCAAGTTCAAGTTAGCGCGGCTAGGCAGCCTATTCGCACTGAATTAGCGCAAGTTGTAGTGAACAAGCGTGAGAGTACCGGCGGTCAGCCCCGCGTGCCGTCACTGAGGAACTTCGGCGATAGCCCGGCGCCGATTTTACTGCCTCGTCGAGTCGGAGTCTCGTAGCCGGGCAGTGCCGCCTGTCAGTGTACGGTCGGCGTCCGGCTCGCGGCACCGCCGCTCAAACTTCAGCGGGACCCTGACCCGGCGGACCGTGGCACCGTCACAGGGCCGTGCCACCGTGCCGTGCCACCGGCGAACTTGCCGGTACGGCCGGCCCGGCCCGGCCCGGCCAGTCCGACCGTCTAAAACTTTTACTCAAAGTTTGAGTAAAAGTTCCGAGTTCAGTAGTGACCGCCCGACCGTTCCGAAGTTCACCGAGAGTCACGTCGTACGGCAAATTGGGCCCGGGGAATCCGATCGTGGGGGGTCGCATCTCCTTTTTTTTAACCGTACCCCTCCTGTTGGTCAATTAACCAGGCAATCATGGTCTACCACCCCACACTCTGATGGGCAATAAGTAGGTCATATGCAAAGACACGAAGTGGGGGTGGGGTAACCATTTGTTCCAATGGACATTGGCGTACGCTCTGGTACTGAAGTTTATGATTTGAACGACAGATGCTTGGGACAGGCTTGCTCCTCAAAACTTGCCATACTACACTAAAACTATCGACGAAATATCAAATTCTGACTCACTATTTGGAATTTGAAGAGGAAATCTATCAAGGCTTCCGGATATCAGGAGATACATGAGATAAACGAAACGGTGGGGTGGGGTCAACAAACTCCAAAGGGAAACGGAGGCCGAGAATGGGTGGGGGTGGTGAGGGTACCCTCCTTTGATAGGACTATCAACCGGTGGGATGGCAACGAGTACACCCAATGCGGCTCGTTTTAAAAGGATGGGTCTGGTAGGGGTGGTTGAAAGGGTCTTGTGGTAAAGAGGAAAGGGGGTGGGTACGCAAGGAAGCAGCAAGTTTGCATGATACGAGACGGCGAAGTCGGATCGTAGTAACATGTCAAGACTAGACAAGTTGGTGAAAGACAAGCTGGATAAACTAGACAAGAAGAAGTTCTCGCAAACAGAGTTCGAACAGGCATGCAATGCTGGTCAGCTGCTGATTGTCATCGAGGACAGAGTTTTCGATGTCGAAGGGTTCCGACACAAACATCCTGGCGGAATTTCTTCCTTGGAGAGATATTACGCCCGGGACGCAACCGAAGTTTTTTTCCGTGTGCATGGACCAAATGCACACCGTAGCTTGGAAGAACTGTACATCGGGGACCTGGTTCCTTCGATACAGATCTCTTGCAACGTAAACGCGAAGCTGGATGATGTTGAATCAAAGTTGGCCAAGCAACACGATAGTCATCAGCATGAATTTGATCCTCAGTCGAGTAAGTGTCCGTTTGCTACACTTACTGGAACCCTCAAGGACCCTCCGCATCCAGGCATGTTCCACCAGCATCCAGCCCACGAGCACTTGGATTCAGGTGGGAAGGAGAACGAGGCAAGATGTCCCTTTCAGCACACGCTCAAGACGCCGGATGAGTCTCTCCCTGAGAATCCTCCAGTAGATAGCAGTCACTCCAAAGATAATCGAGAGAACGAGGTAGCCAGCATAGTCAAAGCGTCAGGTTTCGATTTCGCATATCCCGAAAAGGACAAGGCATTTGATGGACACTGGCATTCTGATCGCAACAAGCATGAGCCACATTTCAGCACCTTAGAGGCTCTAGTGGAAGAGATTGACAATGAGAATGTGTCTAATGGCGACAACAAGACTGAATCTGATACTCCAACCTCTTCAAACAGTGATGGCGTGAATGAGCAGAGCTCACGGCCTAGTAAACCTGTCGGCGATGATGCTCCTCTTGATGGTTTTACGAGGGTGAAGTCCGGAGGAACTTTCTCTAGGTCAAGTTCATCCGGATCATTTTCGAAGAAGATCGTTGAAAACGTTCTCAGACGAACTGGGTCTGGATCTAGTCTTCGATCCTGGAAGGAGAACCTCAAAGGCGATGTTCATGCGGAGTTAAGCGAAGGAGGATGCCCCTTCAAGGCCTTAACCTCTCTTCCGACTGAGTTTGCTGCGGCTCGAGGTCGGAGGAGAAGCTCTGTTACTAAGCAAGACTTTTCTACGCGTAGAGGATCTGGAGTGTTTCCTGGAGGCAACGATTTCTTCTCCGGTCCAGGCAAAGCTCTCGAGTCTCCTCGCTCCATCCGATCTCGTGATAACGCCTCTGTCGCGTCTCGTCAGGTCTCAGTATACGCGCAGTCAAAGCGATCAGGCCACGGCACTAACTTGAGGTCGAGCGGCGGCGTCTTTCGAGGAGCAAGGACTCGCAGGAAGGCAATGACGCACAAAAAGTCCTCTGCTCCTCCGATCAATCGCGCGGAGTGGGATTTCCATGCTGCGAGACTGGAGTCGTCTTGGAAGAAGCTTTTGAAGGTCGTGTCGTATGCAGATCTAGGAGGAGCAATCTACGAATCTGTTCGCGACAATGATATTCTAGAACCTCTCTTTCGTTTTACGAACAGGTCTGCTCAAGGCACCAAGTTCGTTGACATGTTGTCAAGCATTGTTGAGAACTTGAACTCACCTGCAAATGTCTACCAGAAGATTGCTGACCTCGCGCCTCTGCATCACCGCAAAGGCGTAGAAATCAGTCACATGCCAATGATGCAGATGATTGTGTTGGGCGTCTTCAGGCACGCGCTGGGAGATGATTTCAGTCAGGAGGAGATGCAGTCATGGCTGTGGATGTGGGAGTACCTCACTACTGCTCTCGATGTCTCCTTGAAGGTCATCTGTTCTACTATGGGCGTTGTAAGAGACTCTTGGGAGACCATCTTGGAGTCCTACACGCCTGGTCAGCTGGGGGAGATGATCTACGACTGCCTTTTCAAGCTTGCTCCTAACGCCACTCACCTCTTCACCAAGCCCCGCGAGTATATGGCCATCAAAATGGGCGATACGCTTGGAATGCTAGTTTCTTTTGCTGATGATCCAGACGACATGAAGAAACAAGTGGCATCGCTGGGTCTGCGGCATGTCAAGTATAACGTTCGTCCTCATCACATTCCTCTTATCGCCCCCGTGATTGTCAACGTGCTTGCTGAGGCTTGCGGTGAAGCCTGGAGCGAAGAAATCGAGCAAGCCTGGTCCACAGTGATTCACATGGTCTGTCAGAACATGGTGGAAGCAATTCAAGATGGTGAAAACTTCGCGACCAATTTGGAATATAGTAGCCAACAATTTCAAGAGGTTGGAATGAAGGACAAGCTGAAGGACGCTCTTTATGAGAAACTCAGGAATTACTCCCCTGAAATATTCGAAGTGCAAGCTCAGTCAGATCCCAGAAAGCTGTACAATGAAATCTCGATGTCCCAGCTGCAAGCGGAAAACACAAAAATCGCCTCAAATCACAAGGTGGACTTGTTGTTATCGTTAAGTAGTAATAACATTGCAGAGTTTTATGCAAGAATATGCCTCATTCAAGTCCGGACTCACAAAGAAATCTTCAAAGAAAGACGTCTCAAACGAAAAGAGCAACAAGGAGATGTCGAAGCTTAACAAGGGCACGAAGGCTTATGACGCTTTTGAAGTGTCTTTGTACTTTTACCTCCTCGTTTCTTGATATCCTATCCAGGGCCTGATCGACTTGATCGTGGAATTCAATCTTGAGATCCTGAAGCTTGTTTGGGAGCCCGAGAGACAAGTCGAGGTTGTTTACATCTACGCGCCCAAATTTTATGCCATGTAAACGTCAAGCGAGTATTTCTACCTTGTTTGACATCTCATGTAGGGGAATCAGGAACAAGCATCTCAAGAACATTGCTAGATCATTGCAAGAAGCGATGGTTGTCGTTCTCGACGACAGGTTTGGGACCAAACTGCCTGCAAACTCTCTAAACAAGACTCGCAGGGCTGTTGAGAACTTCGATGATTGTCTACAATGGCTATGGAGGTTGATCCTTGATGTGAGCACAAGACGTTACGGTATTGTTTGTGATCGTTTCCGCGTTACAACAGGCTTTCACAAAAGAGCTTGCTATCATTGAAGAAGCTAAGTATGAACTGATTCTCGATTCATACGAACAAATCAGATCTCAATGCGAAGATGAAGTCTGCCTGAGCAATGCCCGATTGCGAAATCTTACATCTCGTGCAGCAATTAGGCAAGATATTCTGGAAGCATCTGAATGACTTGGTAAGAAAACTTTTTTACGATTGATTCAAATGCTCTTGTACCTGAAGTTCAAATACAGTCGCCCGAGCAAACTCATCTATTCAGAAGATCTCTCAAAATGTTCGTACGATCTCTCTTGCCTTTTTTTCATTCTTTTTGCTCAGGTGGGGAAGGCTGCTGCAGCATATCATGCGCATGTTGGTCATGAGCACTCAGGACGCTGAGGTAGGCTTTAGGTTGTCCCTCATCGCCCAGTGACGTTGCCAACGACAGAAATTCTTTCAAGTGCTTTTCGACCTGACTGTGAATCACATTCGCTATGGAGTCAAATCAGAATATCTCAGCCCATTCGGACAAGCGCTCATTCTCACTCTCGAAGAGGTGTGCACTTGTACCTTCACTCGATGGGTTGACAGGATTCTCAGATCTTGAAGCCTTCATGGTCGACAGACATTGAGAACATGTGGAAAGAGGTTTGCTACTTCTTTCCTTTCTCTCGCTTTTCTTTTCCCCTTTCTTTGCCTTTCTACCTCAAATTCTTCTTAATTCTTTGTGCAACCTAATCTGTTCCCTCCAACTGCAGCTCTGGCGAAGGGCAGCGAACAGCATGACCCGGGGGCTGAACATGGGTGGAAATGGCATCACCCATGCGCTAGTAGAAGGAGATGTTGGCATGTTGGAGCAAGCGATCAGTTGCGCTCCTCGAAACTCACGTGCTCAATGGCTTTGCGAGGTATTGTAGAGAGAGGGAGCAAGGGGGGAAGAGAAGCAGAGAGGAGTTGGTGCGGTCAGGATGTGATGAGATGAAGGTAATGGTTAACGGAGCCTCGATCTCTCCGCTTTACTGGGCCTTGAGGGATGGCAAGTACGCTCTCGTAGAGTTTATCCTCAGGTGTGTGACTCTTTTAGAGCGAGGACGTCTGACGCCGTGACAGTGACCTGCTGACTATCCGGGCGGACATACACGGTTACTACTACGGGAGAGAAGTGACGGCAGTTGAAATGTCGCCACTAATTTGACGGGAGCTGCAGGAGCTATTCAAGTTCCATGAGGACATTGTCGGAGCACTCGGTCGTCAGAGTGTTGGTCTCATACCGATACTGCTAGACGGGTTGCTGTGGCACGCAAAAGAGAAGGAAGACGGAAGGCTGGTCGGCCAATCCCTCACGTCATCCGCTTCTTCTGATTTCTTGTCCCTCTTCCTTCTCAATGCTCTCTCAGTGTGTCTTCTGAACTGTCATGTAGGTAAGAGTCAACTATTACATCAAAGACCTCTATGGCGATCCTGGCATCATCGAAGACCCTTGGAAGTCTCCACTGGCTTGGCTCATCAAGTTGGGTGAGAGAACTTTGATTGCTTGTCGTTGCCGTCATGCCATTGCTAGATGACAACGAGTCGTTCAAGCATCCAGCTGTCTGCAAGACCCTCGACCTGAAGTGGACGAAGTTTGCGCTCAGAGTTTTCCTGCTGAAGGAATCGTGTTTCCTCCTCATGCTTGTCGTGTTTATGATTCGACATTCTGTTGATCCCAGTGGCTGCGACTCGGCCCTTGAGGTGAGAGGCTTTCACGCAATGAAGTTGTTTGACAATCACCAAACCAGTGGTTGAGAGTACTCCTGCTGCTCTTGACGCTTGTTAGCCTTGGGCTGCAGGTGACCAAAAGACCAGCCTGTCAAACTCTAGTGTCTGACTTGATCACTGATAAGGCTTGGATCATTTTCTTTCAAACCAAGAAGAAAATCTTTCTCCCCTTGAAACTTTGGATCTTTCGTTTGCAAATGCCTCGGTTAGATGTTCAAATTAATTCAATGATTCTGACATCTTTGCAAAGATGTTTTAGCAGCATTTGGAACTGGATCAAAATTGTGGCCTGCATCTTGATCATATCCTCATTTGCTAACCAGGTCTTGATATCTTCGCGTGTGTATCAACTTATTGACTGTCAACTGATGAATTGTTGTTGCAGACATGCTTGGATGGGTTTGAAGGTGTGACTGTTTGCGTTTTCTTCAAAGTGATCTGATTTCTTCATTGCAGATAACAACAGTGTGAAAACTGCAGAAGCTTTCGCAGCCATCTTGCTGTGGGCCGAAATGTTTCAGGCACTGACATATGAAAGATGCTTGTATTCAATCTTTGATCATGATTCAGATCAGCATGTTGTCAACTCCGATGGCGGCGTTTGCTTACACATTGGGAATCATGGTTCGGGATCTCAGTCATTCACTGTATATGATCATCATCCTTATTTTTGGTGAGTAGGAGGCGATTCGCTTCCATGCCTGCCTGTCACATCTCTATCTCACCCACGTCATCTGTGTCTTCTTTCTCGGTTCTGTCTGCGTTAGCTTTCTGCTGCCTACCGTCCCGGCTTTGCCGTTTCTATCCTACTTGTTTTTGGTCTCTGATATCATGAACACATTCTCTTGTTATTGTTGATTTCAATCTTTCTCTGATGCTGCTTGCAAGGGTTTGGATCTGCTCTGTCCATTATCGGGGACCCTCCCTTTGACGAGGGATGGGACACTACTGCCGTTATACTGTTGCAAGAGGTAAACCTCAAGCCAAAGCCATTCCTTCCTAGGCTGAGACTATGAAACAGGTGATGGGTGTAGCTCAGCCCATGTATCCTCAAATCTCAAGCTTGACTCGTTTTCTTCTCCTCGTCTTCGTCACGTAAGTCTACTCCTGCTTTACCTGATTCCTCTTCACATACTCTTTTCGACCTTGACTATTTCGTTTACTTTTTCTCACTCTCCCGCTTTCTTCTTCTCCCTTCTTCATCTTTTCATAAACCTGCTTTGTCTCTTGCCATTTCCCTTGTGCTCTGCCCCCCCTCATGTCGTTTTCAGGTGTGTTACGATTGGACTCCTCAACGTCCTGATCGCGCAGCTTACCATCACCTACGATCGGCTCAACGTGGACAAGGAAGGCTTTGCAATGATGCACAGGTGAGGGTCAACGAGACGAGCAGGAGGAAGAAAGTCAAACAAGCAGGAAGCAGATGAGGGAGAGGAGGATCAAAGCCAACAATTCAAAGACAACCAGAGGAAGGGAGAGAAATCGAGACTGACTGCTTGCCAGGGCAAGTACGTGCTTGGAAATCGAGACCTACCTTCCACTGACATGGAGGAGGTGAGAGAGGGAGGAAATCGCCTGGCGTATGATGGCATGTAGGCGTCTCTTCAACAACATGGGGTTTGACCGCCCCCTTTCCTTCGCGGAAGGAGATGAGGGTCCATGTGGGGGCGTGCAGGTGAGAACAAGTCCAGAGGCAGGAGAGGCGAGGGGGGGAGGGAGGTTGTGGTAAGAGAGGGGGGGGAGGGAGGTTGTGGTAAGAGAGGGGGAGGAGGGAGGTTGTGGTAAGAGAGGGGGAGGAGGGGCAGGACAGGAGGATGAAGGGTGGGCTTGATGGTGTCGCAGGTTCTTGAGCGAGATGACTGTCCTCGCTATGTCGCTGATCGCATCTTACGCTTCACCGGGGACGCGAGCCCTGAAGACCCCTGGCCCTCCATCAACTTTGATGAGCCTCCTGTTGCCCATAATGCAGAGGAGCAGTGAGGAGTTAGTAGTAGGGGTCAAACTGAAGTTGAGAAGGGGTCAAACACCAAAAGGATTTGAATGATGGGGAGACCATCGAAAACCATCACCGACTGTTCTCACTCAAATGAATGAAGCTGACTCTTAACATGTAACTATGTAAATGGATGATATTCAAGATTGATAATGAATATTGTGAATGATTGCGATGAAAAAGAATGATAATCGGGTCTGATTGGGTTCATGTGGCAGGAGGACAGTGGTATAGTTAATAACATTTCTTGCCAATTATCGTGAAACTTGCATGTGAAACTTGAGCACCTGACTCCTCACGATGGATCGCAAGGCAAAGAAGCCGACGATGACCTCGAGGAAGACGAAGACCGTCAGGATGATGCTGCCTGCCAAGTCGAAGGAGAGCTGAAGAGGAAGTCCGCTCACTCGAACGGGAAGCGAGAGGACGAAGAAGAAGGCGATGGGCAGCTGCGGGATGAGCGTGAGGAGCCAAAAGCCAGTGAGCTGAGGGACTTTCTCCTGGAGGTTACCAACGAAGCCTAGAGGAGCACAGGGATCACTCGCTCGCATGCAGCAGGTGGAGATGCTACCCAGGTAGAGGCGGACGGGCTCCAGGAGGAACCAGACGGAGAGGACAAGAGGGGAGAGAACTTTGTACGCCTGATTCACAATCAAGTAATTTTCCTGCGCCGCACAGTGAGGGAGGGTCATGAGACAACCGATACATCACCTTGAAGAGCATGAGGGCGAGGGTGAGGGCGCCCCAGAAAATTGAGTAGAAGACGTTGAAGTAAAGAAGCATCTGAAGCGGCAGGCTAGAAGCAATCTGCGTGTCTACAACCTGGTCATTTTAATCATGTGAATAATGTGTGCATACTTGTTATCATCAGCTCTTCGTCATTTCCTAGCTCCTCCTGCTGCTCTTGCGACAAATGGACTTGTGCAAACAGACGTCCAGACAAGGATGTCAATCCTCGTGCAATCATACCAGGTCTGCCAAATATTAATCAGAACGAGGAGATTAAGTTCAACCTTCAAAATATTCATACCTTTTTGTTGCCGTCTTTGACATTTTGTTTGATTTCTAGCAATATTATCGGTGCATTCTCTACAACGTGAGCGCAAGTAAGCTGGTTCTGCAAAGATGAGTGGTTGCTTTCTACAATCCTTTGACTTTCCAAGGTGATCCTTGACTCTTATCAGCACTGCACCTCGCTGCTTCCCTATGCCCTTGCCTGACCGTCTTGTCTCACCTGATCTTGCGCTCCCTGCTCCCCTCCCTGGTCTCCTCCCGCCAGTTTTGTTTGCAATCTGGAAGGCACGGATCCGGCCGGGCAAGAGACGACTCAGAAATTCAAGTTCAGACTTCAAGCCTGAGGCTTAGTCCTGGCACTACCCGGTGACTCGGGCCGCCGCAAGCGCGGCCAGCCTGGCACGGCTGAGGCGGCAGTGCCGTGCTGGCTTTAGGCTCCGAGGCTCCGCCGTGACTGCCAGCCATTGATGATGAGTCAGTACGGTCACGAGTCGGTGGCCGCCGCTGATGCGGCCCCGGGCGGCCAGCCGCGCGCCGGGCCCCCGGCCGGCGGCGTGAGTCGGACTGGGCCTGAGGGTCATCAGTTTACAACGTGGCAGGATTTAGCCCCACGGGCAAGTTTAGGCTTGAAATCCAACCTACTAGTCAGCCGGGCACCTCCGAGTACGGTAGTGCTAAGCTGTCATACGCCCGGCTATTTTGCGCTCTCCGGGCCGAATGGCAAGTCGGATCGGCGGGCGGAGTGAGGGACACTGGGCTCATGTCACTGAACTCGGAAATATTCAGCCGGTCAAAAAACAATGATTCGAAATTTGGTTCCGACAACCCCCCCGGACTCCCCGAAGTTATCCGATCCGATAATCGATTGTAATAAGATGTGGAGTTGGGTACCGACCGGAAACCACTGAGCCGCTGGTTAATACCTCGCAAAAACAGGGAGGGGGGGGGGGGCGGGCGGGAAGGTACTACGGTATCTACCCTCCCCTGAGAAACGAAATACAAACTAGTATCGGACGGTCGATTTCTTAAGACTGACTCTGAAACGACTTCCACAAAATACTCCAGTATGAAACAGTTAGGCGATTTGCTTTCTTTTTTGTGCTTTTTTTTCCCCGAACTTTCGAACTTTACAGCGACTGGTAGGATTGGCTTCTCTTTTTTTACCGCCTGACTCAGACTGACAGTAGTACCTGCGCTCCTGGCACTCTCCCTCCCCTCCTCGCCCCCGCCGGATGGTAGCGGAGCAGCAACCGCTCGCGTCCTTCTTCTGCCCCATCAGCATGGTACTGATGACCGACCCTGTCTCCTGCTGCGATGGCAACACTTATGAAAGATCCTCCATCGAGACCTGGCTCCAGCTCCATCCTTCCAGCCCTCTCACTGGCGCCTGCCTCCCTTCCAAGCAACTTGTTCCCAACTTCGCTCTCCGCAGCGCAATCCAAGAGTGGAAGGAGCAACACGCGTTTTTCGTCCCCAGACACGAAGTCGAGATTGACCAGCAGCCTATCTCAGAAGGCTCATCCAAGACTCTCTACATAGGTTACCTCCGCATGCGAGGGCGAGGAGCGATGCCAGAGAAGATCAAGGTCGCGGTGCTCAAGCTGAGGCAAGGCGACGGCGAGAGAGAAGCCGGGGTGATGCTGAGTCTCGGGCCGCATCCTCGGCTTGTACGGTACATGGGGCAGAGCGAGGACGCCGAGGGCTGCCGCCTGCTGCTGACCGAGTACGCCGAGCTGGGATCGTTGAGGCGGGCTTTACTGGGGAGGCTGGCGGGCCAGGTGACGGGAGGGCACCAGATGGCGATGATGCATCAGATCGCACAGGGCATGGAGCACCTTGCTGAGCAGCGGGTTGTGCACCGGGACCTCGCGGCAAGGCACGTGCTGGTCTTGGGCTTCGATAAAGACGACTTGCGGAGGACGTCGGTGAAGGTGGCGGGCTTCGGGCGTGCAATAGACCTCGCGGACGGTACTGACGCTACGGTAGCGGGGCGGGGGCTGCCGGTGCGCTACATGCCCCCGGAGTCCATGAAGAAAGGTCGGTGCTCGGAGAAGAGCGACGTGTGGGCCTTCGGGGTGACGTGCTGGGAGATCCTGACCTTGGGCAAGACCCCCTACTCCAACATGACGGACGATACTGTGATCAGGTACGTGTGCGGGGGAGGGAGGCTGCCCCGAGAGGACATAGAGGGAGGATGTCCAGACGAGGTATGGGCTCTAATAGAGAGCTGCTGGTCGACGAGTGAAGAGGATCGCCCGACGTTCGCGGAGCTTGCGGTAGCTTTAGGAAGAGCCGGAGCGGAGGGGCCTGAGAGGACAGCATGGAGGTGGTCAGGCAAGACGCCTGGGCTGCAGGACGCATGGAGTAGCAGCCAGTCACTATGCCGAAGAATATGCAGTGTAGCAGAAGCTGCGTGGAGACGCATCGGGGAGGCAGCGGGCGGAGGGATTGATGTGGTTGCGACGAGAGTAAGAAAGCGCAAGTACCGAGAGCTTGCGGGACAAGAGTCAGCATGTGATGCTTTGGAAGGCATGACGAGTGCTGCCCGTGACCCGCTGAGCACAAGAGCTAAGAGGCTACGGGTCGGGGCGCCGTCAACGGTTGAGGGCCAAGACGCACGCGGGATGCAGCAGCTGGCAAGGGAGGCATGGAGGCAGCTGAGGACGGGAGCTGAAGACAGCATAGAGGCGGTAGTGCAGGAGATAAGGACGTACGAGGTACTCGCGGAGGTACAGCAGGCTGCATGCGAAGCCTTGGTCAGCATGGCTCAGAGCGTTGAAGACTACAAGCACAAGGCGAGAGAGGCGGGAGCGATCGAGGCTGTCGTCAGCGCCATGTCCAGGCACCCACAAGATGCGCAGGTACAACAGGCAGCGTGCGAGGCCCTGAGGCATACAGTGTGTCGCGCCGAAGTTAGCCAGGAGTGCGCGAGAGAGGCGGGAGCGATCGAGGCTGTCGTCAGCGCCATGTCCAGGCACGCGGACGATGTACGGGTACAGCAGGCAGCATGCGAGGCCCTGGAGGACATAGTCTCGTTCATCGATGGGAACAAGGTGCGCGCGCGAGAGGCGGGAGCGATCGAGGCTGTCGTCAGCGCCATGTCCAGGCACCCAGAGGACGCGGGGGTACAGCAGGCTGCGTGCCAGGCCCTGGAGGACATAGTCTTGTTCATCGATGGGAACAAGGTGCGCGCGCGAGAGGCGGGAGCGATCGAGGCTGTCGTCAGCGCCATGTCCAGGCACCCACAAGATGCGCAGGTACAACAGGCAGCGTGCGAGGCCCTGAGGCATACAGTGTGTCGCGCCGAAGTTAGCCAGGAGTGCGCGAGAGAGGCGGGAGCGATCGAGGCTGTCGTCAGCGCCATGTCCAGGCACGCGGACGATGTACGGGTACAGCAGGCAGCATGCGAGGCCCTGGAGGACATAGTCTCGTTCATCGATGGGAACAAGGTGCGCGCGCGAGAGGCGGGAGCGATCGAGGCTGTCGTCAGCGCCATGTCCAGGCACCCAGAGGACGCGGGGGTACAGCAGGCTGCGTGCCAGGCCCTGGAGGACATAGTCTTGTTCATCGATGAGAACCAGGTGCGCGTGCGAGAGGCGGGAGCGATCGAGGCTGTCGTCAGCGCCATGTCCAGGCACGCGGACGATGTACGGGTACAGCAGGCAGCATGCAAGGCCCTGTCCTGCGTGTTGAGTTTCATGAATGAGAGCCAGGTGCGCGCGCGAGAGGCGGGAGCGATCGAGGCTGTCATTAGAGTCCTCGATATCCACGCAGACAATGTGCGGGTGCAGTTTGAATGGTTCTGGACCCTCAAATACACCATGCAATACTTCCGATATCAGGGCACAGCGAGGGATGCAGCAGCAATCGACGCTATAGTCAGCGCCATGACCAGGCACCAGACCCGCACGAAGGTACAGGAAGGGTTCTGCAAGGTGCTAAATGAAATAACCAAAGACAACAAACAGAACAGACTCCCGGTCACCCAGGCGGGAGCGATCGAGGCCGTCGTCAGCGCGATGACCAGGAACACAGACCACGACGTACAGCAGGCAGCATGTGACGCGCTGCACAGCATGGTCAACGGCATGGCAGACAGCCAGGTGCGCGCACGAGAGGCGGGAGCGATCGAGGCCGTCGTCAGCGCAATGACCAGGAACACAGACAATCGGTGGGTACAGCAGGTAGCATGTGACGCGCTGCACAGCATGGTCAACGGCATGGCAGACAGCCAGGTGCGCGCACGAGAGGCGGGAGCGATCGAGGCCGTCGTCAGCGCAATGACCGGGAACACAGACCACGACGTACAGCAGGCAGCATGTGACGCGCTGCACAGCATGGTCAACGGCATGGCAGACAGCCAGGTGCGCGCACGAGAGGCGGGAGCGATCGAGGCCGTCGTCAGCGCGATGAATAGGAATGGGCGTGGCTCTGAGGCGAGCCGACGGCTGAGGTCTGTGCTTGAGCGACAAGATTCCGACACGGCGATGGTAGGGGAGAAGAGAAGCTGAGGACCGACGGAGGCAGGAGGGAGGAGAGGCAGGACTATACGACTTGAGGGTGAAGTGGCTCATCAGGAAGCAGCTCACAGAAAGGAGGGAAGAGGTTAGTACCTTGAGCCTGGGTCAAGACATAAGAAATCGAACAACCCTACCTGGATGGATGTGTGGTCAAATCTTGGGATAAGTTCTTCAAGGCGACGAGAGCTTCAGGGTGAAGCATCTCAGCAGGTGGCCGAGCTCAGCGAAAGGAGGGAGGCCAGAGCTCATAGGAACCGAAACCCGAGTCCTGCTGACGAGGACCCCTCGGGATCCTCTTTGTTGCAGGAACAGTTTACCCGTGGTGGCTTTTACAAGCGGAATAGGAGAGTAATTCTTGTGGAGTACAACCCGTTGGAAGCAGCCTGCTTGCATGCGAGGACGGGGGCCTCTTCCCTACGCGAGAGCAAGGCTTCCTTTCGAGGTCCTGAAGGGATGGTCAACATCTAAGGGGAGAAGCTTGTCAACTTCCAAGCAAACAACCCTCCTACTTCCTTCAGCCAAAAGACGGTACCTCTGTCTGCTTGTTCGAAGCTATAAAAGGATCATCATCTTCAGGACCAGGTGATCATCTTCCACTTTCGCGTGTGTGCCACGTCTGTTTGTGCCACACCTGTGTGTTGGCTTCACTTGTTTGTTGTTTGAGAATAAAGAGAGGTAGATCTCTTTCTCTCACACTGATTTCCTCTTGATAGAGTAAATCCAGCGCGAGTTCTTGTTGAGCTGCGCTTGAAGTTCATCCTGTAAAGCCTCGGGGTGTGACAGAAGGTTGGGATCTTGAGGTAAAGTGAGAAAATAGAAAATCGACTGACCTGGATTGATGCGTCAAGCAGTTAATTTGCTTTGCATTTTCTCGCTTCTTTCAAGCGTTGCACTAGTAGGAAAGAATGTCTTTTATGGAGAATATATATTTGCTGAAGTGTAAAAACTTTGATGAGCTCCTTGAAATGATTTATTGGAATGTAAAACTTTGATGCGCTCCTAAAACTTTGATGAGCTCCTTGAAATGATTTATTGGAATGTAAAACTTTGATGAGCTCCTTGAAATGATTTATTGGAATGTAAAACTTTGATGAGCTCCTTGAAATGATTTATTGGAATGTAAAACTTTGATGAGCTCCTTGAAATGATTCATTGAAATCACCTTTCATGTGATTCACGAGGACGATAACGACAGCAACGCCGGATGAGGTGACTGTCAGGCCCTGGCCTTGACGATGTTCCTTACACGGAACATACCTGGCGGCTGAGGAGATAGCAGGGGTCTCACGAAACGGATGAGTGATGCTAGCAAGCAACAGAACGACCGGGTCTCAGGCCTCTCAAGGACCCTCGCCGGGACTTCAAGGTCTGCCACTTCGTCTCCTTGGGCCACAACGGAACACAGACCCTACCTGGTCTGTTGCGGTGGAATGAACGGGTCTGCTCCCTCTTGCTGCAATGTGGCGTGCGACCTTTGGTACATGGTTCCCTTCTCCTTCCTCCGCGCTGTACGTGTCCTTCCCTCTCTCCGCTGTCTCCTAGCATCTTGAATAAACCCCTTTGAGTTCACACCTTTCTCCTTAGCATTCGAGGTCAGCGAGAATTCGCTTTGTAGCAGTGACCTACACGCCCTCTGTGCTAGAGATTATGCCAGCGTTGAATTTCTGTTGTCGACAATTTCACGGAGGATTCCAACAGAATGCGCGGACACTTTTACATCGTTCGTTTACATTGTTCGTTGCAAACAGAAACGAATCAAATGCAGTTTTCATTAACCAAGAGCGTTGGATCACAAGCTTCTTGTCGATGGCAAGATTGCTGATGACCAACTTTGAGACGGAAAGGACGGGTAGCAATCTGTTAACCTAAATCCTAAACCTTCGGGTCTCGTTCTAGTTGATCTGCACGAATCACGGTTAGGAATGTCACATCAGCGGCGACGA